AGGATGCGGTGTTTCATGTGGGTGCAGAAAAGTTGGTTTATACTGTAACTCTACTTGTTCTGGGTGCTCAGGTGAAGGGTGCAGTAATAGTCCACCAATAATTGAAGATGAGGATGACATAGATCACGATGAAGATGTAATTGATGACGAATAAAATTAATATTACAATTGTTTTACCTATAAATGTAAATATTTTCAACTATTTATGTAAATGTATAAGAATATATGGTGCCTTTTTATGTTGATAAATTTTTTTGTATTTAATTATACTTTTTTCAATTTATATCTTATAAATTAGTTTATAAAAACTGCAATGTTGTAAAGGGTGATTTTCAAAAGTTGAAAAGTTGCAAAATTTTGGCAAAAAATTGTTTTCACCTATAGCACTCATAACAATTGATTTTTAAGGGTTGAAAATGTATGAATTTGTATTTTAACGTATAAAAAAATCACTATTTAACTAATCCAAACCAAATTTCACTCATCTTAAGATTTATAATATTATTTTACAATTTTTGAAAATTAGAAGTAGTTTTCACCCCTAAGAACAATCAGGGTTCATCGGCATGACATAAACTATAAAGCAGAGGGTGAGTTGAGCTTAATTCCAAATTTTTATGCAAATCGTTCCAAGGTGAAATCATTTTCTCGCATTACTAATTTTTTTATATTAATCTCTAATAAGGGTCGCTTTTTAAGGGTTGAAATATGATGGAACTTTATTCAAAAGCACGAAACTATCATTATTTAATTAATTCAAACCAAATTTTACCCATATTCAGGTTTAATATGTTATTTTATAATTTTTGACAATTACGGGTAGTTTTCACCCCTTAGAACAATCAGGGTTCGTTGACATGACATAAACTAGAAAGCAGTGGGTGAATTGAGCTTAAATCCAAATTTTTATCCAAATCGATCCAAGGCGAAATCATTTTTTTATAATTGGTAATTTTTTTACATTAATCTCTAACAAGGGTTGCTTTTTAAGGGTTGAAATATGATGGAACTCTATTCAAAAGTATAAAATAATCATTATTTAACTAATTCAAACCAAATCTTACCCATATTCAGGTTAATATGTTATTTTATAATTTTTGACAATTAGGGGTAGTTTTCACCCCTAAAACCCATCAGCGCACTTCGGTTCGATATAGATTTTGATCCTTGGGCTATCACCTACCTTTTGTTAAAATTTCAAATGGATACATGCAGGACGAAAAAATTGCGAGGTTTTAACTATTTTCGAGATTTATTTCCTGAACTATAATCGTTTCCTTAGACAAACCCGTCTTATGCAAACAACATTGTTGTGAGACAGATAGTTGAACGATATTTTATACAATGTCTATACCTAGGTATGGATTTATTTTTGTCCGAGTTTTATATTGGTCCACTATTTCAAATGCAGTTCAAACACACATGTATTAAATTGTATGTTCCGTTTTAATTTGGTTCAATCTGTAGACCATTTGAAAGGTAATTAATTTTTCTTTCAACTAAATTTACCCCTGTATATACTTAAAACTGTAGAAAAAATTTATAGAAGAATGTTTGCGAAAAAATAGGGAAAATATCCAAAAAAGGGTAAGTGGCGAAATTTTGAAAAACCGTATCTGGGATACTGTAACTCCAAAATACTTTCACCAAACATCATGTTGAAGGCAAAGAATAAAAGTTTTTTTTCTTAACAGCAATGCCTATACCTATACCCCAGTGGAAAAAAGTTATGGGCCAAAAAATAAAAATCGCATGTGTTCCTGTTTTTTTTTGCTTTGTTTTTAGACAAAAAAAAAATTTTTTTCTTTAAAAAGGTGACATTTTGATAGAAAATTAAATTTTGAAAAACTTTTCTGTAGATGTATATGTACGAAAACTACATAGAATCCACCCAGATGCATCCTAGCGCATAGTTACAAATTTACCCCTTCCTCATAAACGCACCTTTACCATATGAAATAACGTTGAAATGACTTCTTGAACGTTGTAGTTTGTTTTAGCCCTATTTTTTAACATGGAAACAATAGCCTATAAAATGTGTCCGCTCAATTAACGAAGATTTTAATTGTTTCAATTTTTTCTGTCTTTTTCCCCTTTTCTGTTATAGAAAAGTTATGACTTAAATGAACCACCGAAACGTCCCAGAAGAACCCCTTCGCATAACCTCTTGGAGCTACCCAAATAGAAGACCATATGTCGACGTCACTAGAACCTCTGCCGCTGCAGCTTTCACAAATCGTTCCTCCAATGCATTCCTTGAAGAGGCTATAAAAAGTCTAAAGAACATCCGTTCTTTAAAAGTACGGATGTGCCTCTTTATTAATGTCCTGCCTGAACTGTTCTAAACAATAAATGTGGTACCTATTCTGTAAAAATTGTGGACACAACAAGTCTGCGATATCCCCAAGTATTAGGGAACAACAGTGCTAACCATAGAGTTTGGGAGACTCAACGATGAACTGTGGCGTAAGTGTTTGTTCACGGATAAGTCTAGAATAGCATTGTCTCATTCAAATAAGTTGAAGTGGCATCTGTTGTTACTGTCTGAATTGCAATTTCTATGGAGGCACGCAACTAACTACTTATTCTTGACAGAAAACAACGGATAGTCACAGACATGCTATAGATTAGTCATTCATTCGATTGTTGGCCAATTTGCTCTTCAATTTGGCGTAAATTTTGCTCTAGAAATCGATATTACTAGTGCCTGGGCTTCCTCATCCATAGATTAATGTTCGTAATCAACATACAGAGCTCTTTTGAAGCAAAGAATGGAATGCTTCGGATCGTACAATCAGCGTATCTGCTTTTTAGCATTCCTATAAGAGCACTGATAGGCAGACAGAGCAGAGAAGGTCTTACAAGGTATTAAATGTTGAATTTTACATTTATCGTAAATTTTTTGGATCACACATCACTTTTCAAAAATAAATTTTTAAAAAATTTTTGTATATTAGATAATAATGGTCTTCGCTGACGACTGACAGCGACGTTGTATTCGGTCCGAATATATTGCACTCTAATTATTTCTTTCCATCCATGTTTGGTGCGATTGCTACTTTTAAAACTTTCCATCAGATGATTAACGGTTTTGTGTTTTATTAGTATCTTTTTGTTGCCAATTTATTCTGCACTATTTAGTTACTTTTCCATGCAGCTAGATTTTCGGTCTCAGCGGTTAAGAGACCTACAGTATATTGCTTTCTTGAAAACCAAGACACTTTTCCAAGGCAAGGCATTTCTACAATTAAAAATCATTATTAAAATGGTACCATTAAGATATATTCTATCGCTACTTCAATTTGGTACAATAGCCATCCAAATTGTACTCATCTTTATGTCTATGATAAGTCAGTGCCAAAGATTCAGTTTCCTTCAAGTATCTCAATATCCTTTTTGTTTCACTTCAAGTCTGATTAGTAAATACTTAAGTAATCAAAAGTACTTCTTCTGCACGATACTTCTAAATAACTACTTTAAATACATGGCACTGGTCCCATAACCTGTTATAGAGTAAAATATTTAATATTTATTCACAAAATACAATGACAATTCTGCAATTCTATCAAAAATGACTACTTGTCGAAATATAAAAATGAAAATGATATGAAAATGATAGTTTGGCCAATTTCATCGTTCGAGACTTCCCTGTTGGTTCTTGTCGTTGATAAAACTTGAACAAAATCAAGAAAAAGACGAAGATATTATTTATGCTTAAACTTGCTAATGGAACAATAAACTTTATACGGAAAGAAAGAATATACTTCAAAACAATGGTTGCTAACTAAGCGATTCTGCACAGGATCCCCTAATCAATTAAAGTAATTAGAGAATGTTTAACCTGCAATTGAACAGAATCCGTCTCGTCTGGTTTTTAGTTAGCCATGTTTTTGAATTAGTGCGTCTTCTTCTTCTTGTAGTGTCTATCCGTTTCGGATGTTGGCGACCATCATGGCAATCTGCACTTTGCACACTGCTGCTCTAAAAAGATTTGTGGTTGTTGTGTTGAACCACGTTCGTAGATTTTTCAGCCAGGAAATCCTTCGCCTTCCTGGTCCCCGTTTTCCTTCTACTTTTCCCTGCAAGATTAGTTGCAGCAGTCCATATCTTTCGCAGTTCCTCATGATGTGACCGATTTTGGCTGTTTTTATTGTGGTTAATAGCTCTTTTTCTTTTTTCATTCTCAACAGAACACCCTCATTAGTAACGTGGTCGGTATACGATATCTTCAGGATGCGACGATAAAGTCACATTTCAAAAGCCTCAATTTTCTTGCAGGTGACGTCTGTGAGAGTCCATGACTCAACTCCGTACAACAGTATAGGAAAGATGTAACATCGTAGTAACCTGATTTTTATGGGCATTGATAAATCATGTAGTCATCAAATCAATTAGTGTGTATCCGTTATAAAAGACACGACCCTTGTTTCCTTCCTGCTTTGTGATTCTTTATACAAAGGTAATCAATTACGTCTTATTTATTACTTCAGTTTTTGCACTAGGTTCTTACATTCAACTCTTAGGTCTTTCTACTGTTTTAAGTGTATTTCATAGCATTTTTTTTTGTTGGGATGTAGACCTATATTATATTTTCGTGTCGAGTATTTTTCAAGCTATAAACGAAGATATGTGAAGGTAAAATTAAATTATATTATACAGAAACTAACCGACAATTAGTTTAAGACGTACAATAATCAATACAATATAGATTTTTGCCTCTCCGATATGCCTAATGTAAAAAGGCCCTAAAAGAATTGTAAAAGACTCACTTTCCAGAGGTTATTATTTTTATAACGCATCTTAGCATCAGTACATCAATTGAATAATTATAAATCCAATCAATTTTGCAATTGTAGTATTTATTACACACTAAACAAGAACAAGTCGGAACATTCTCTATATTGATATAACTACTTTAGTGTGATTGTTTCTACCAAAAATTAGAGAAAAAAACGCATTTTCTGTCGAACTACTAAAGAACAATAAAATTCTGAACTTACTTCTCTGGTAAAGTGCTGACATATGGCATGACAACTTTGTCAACGAAACTACCGAAGCCCAGTCGGAAGTTTGATGTTAACTTTCTCATCGTAGTTGCCAGACTGTCGCCCAAATACGACAGTTTCTCCTTGTCGTCGTACATAGATTTACTGAGATCCATAAGGTAGTAAAGGTCGACTGGGTAGTCTTCTGCCTGGGTGTATTTCATTTTTATGCTGTACACTTTTCCTGAAAAGACAAAGAGAAAAAGTATAGATCAATGACTAATTTATTAGAAAAGCTTCCTGTAGTATAGCCTAAACAATCTCTAAAATCTATAAAAACACGATCTGTAGACACAAATATATTCATTAACACACATGGAGTGTTCGAGGATAGAGACTGACAACACACTACAATATTACCCCAGTCTGTTTGTAAAAAATAAAAAAAAATCATTGATTTCATGTAAAAATCTTGAACAAGTTTTTGATAGTTCAATATTACAATATTGAACTATCATTCAACCATATTGAATTACAAATTACAATAGTGATACTGAAAAACCATTAGTGGACGATGATTTAAAAACTTATACTGTAGTGCAGTCTGCAACCAAACGACTTTTTAGTTGCAGACCTATGTTACCAATCTATTGAATGCAGTCTATAAAATATACTCCAAAATTAATAACAGATTAAAAAATATTACAGAAGCATTATATGAGACCAACGACAAGATTTTCTAAAACACTGACCGAGTCGATACACACATGTTCTTGGATTTTTTTTAAAAGGGATCGCGATATAATAAGATATCTCGTATACCTGATCACAACAATAAAAAAATATGCACAGAAATAAAAATTTCACGATTAAATGCAGTTTTCTCTCCCTACATAAGACAAGCTGGACAGAGAAGTCCTACCCCTGCCAAGGGGAAACCCCTTGGCTAATAGGCCTACGAATATACAGAACAATAGATGTGATCAAATGAACACCTACGGATAAACTTACAAAACATGACACGGTGGCTGCCGCTACATTACATCCCTAACTGTAGATTGCACAGATGCATACCTACACCATACTTAATGGCAAATCATCAGATAGTTGCAAATTATTGACACAAGAAAGGGGAATTCTCTTTTTTAGTTCAGTTGTGGTAAAAAGGGAAATATATCTCCGAGTTAATTTTCCTTTTGAATATTTAGAGGATGAGGCAACCCTACTATTTAATATTGAGAAATCCGGTATAGTTGGGTAATTCCTTTCGTAAATACTTTAAATCTAAATTAATTTCCTTTAATCAGTATTCATTGCAATATTTTTGTATCCAGGTTAGAAGGTGAATCTTTTTATCAGCATATTTGATAACAATAATTAATTATTTCAAATATAACTGTCAATTTAAACGATCGAAAATAAACATGCCATATTATAATTAGTACAATTGATTAATTACTAATTATTGTAATACTAGTTTTGCATTCAGATTTTTCAGTCAACTAATAAAACTATTACGTTTTTCTTTAAAATTCAATCTGCAAAATTGCAGTGTTTTATTTTTACTATCAGTGATGTTTGACTAAGAAAAAAAAAAGAAATGAATGAAGTCAAATTGCAACTATAATTACAGCCAATGGTATTGCCCGAAATTGAGCATTGGGTGTTGTGCAAGCTCCAATGTCAGAGTGCCATGGAGCACTTGACCTACTTAATTTCATAAGTATAGAACTATCCTTACTTAAGGATTTTTTTAAGTTCTCTAGCGAGACTAATTTATATTTAAATTGTATTTATTTCAGCATTTTAGACTATTTCTCGTGAAATATTTAATTTCGAATTAAATGGTATTTTTGACTTGGTACGATTTCATATTTTTCTTCTATTTTTCAGGTATTTTTCGACTTGGAAGATTTTGGTAAGATATTTATTTTCGATTGAATAATTTGCATTATCTGGTTATTTCTTTCAGGATTTCTTAAACGAACTTAGAGTAGGTTTGTTATTTGATTTATTTTATATTTTCAGAGAATTTTATTATATTTTCAGATAGAAAATAACTTAAAACAATTTTCCTAATATTTCATTTTCTTTAGGGAATATTTCGGTCTGAAATATTTTTTCTACATTTTTAGGTCTCATCGACTTAGGACATTTTCGATAGTCGAAAATTTGCCATACCTTGCTTTGTATCGATATTTTGTTACATGTGATTGTTGATTAGTCCCGAAGTCACCACGACAAACATATATCGCATTTTGAACAAAATCGAGTTAGTAGAAATTTCACCTTTTTTCGAAATTTTTGGGACTCCACTTTTACCTTTTTTTGCTTAATTAGTCTTAGGTGTGATAATTAATAACTTTCTCTTACAGATTCCTAGTTCTAAGACTAATTAACGCTTTTCTTGCAGATTCTTAGTTTTAGTTAACATTTATTTGCATATATTTTAAAAAGGTATTTCCTTCTAGCTTGTGTACATATACAACCTATATGTCCACTGGCCGTGACCCTTACCTGCTCCGGTCCATTTCAGTCATGGATAGTGAGACTGGACCACCTTCCCTCATTCCCGAGTGTTCAGGCCAGCGACACTACGAAGTGATTAATTTAGAGCGATTTTTTAATAGATTAAGTCAATATTGAAACAATTTTAATACGTTATAGGAAATCTTACTTGCTCGCAACTTCAAATTGATCCTTTGAGGCGTCACTTGTACTATCTTCCCGCCAGCAGCACCAGCAAAAGCTCCGGTTCCACCCGCACTTCCTTCTTCCCATCCATGAGCGCTCCAATGCTCCGAAGCATTATAGCTGCCTTCGGCGCCTGATACGAGTGTTCCCCCGCCACCTGCTACTCCTTTATGGGCTTTTGTTAACTCCAGATTGCTCAAGACACTTAGTATATTGTCGGGGAAAAGAACGAATTCTTCGGGGCATTTTTTCTGTTGTTGGTACTGTAGTTCGGGTTCGAAGCAACGTGGGCCGTCACCGAAGTTCTGAAACGAAACAAAAATTAAGGATATATACGCACCTATGAGAGTCTAAGCTTCAAAATTGTGGCAAGATGGTGATGCATAGATAGCATTTGACTAATTAACAGACTATGTTACAAGAAAGCTAAAGTTGAAAGTTAAAAAATGTTGCAAGAAAGAGGTGAAGATAGAGAAAAATATTAACAATGAGATTTATGGACGACGAAAATAAAAGAGCAAAAATAGAGATACTCAAATGTGGAGAGAACAACGATGTTGGAAATATAGTTAGAAACGATACACGGATACGGAACTTTCGACGGTTCCAAAGAAATGATAAGGTTGATGAGAAAGAACTGTGGTAAAAAAATTCCAACTAAATGACTTGTGAGTTGGATTGTGGGTAGTGGCAGGTCCTGATCTATGGAGGAAACCACTTTTGAGAGTACTGTCCTTGTCTAATCCGGTAGTATCTGGTGTTGCTGATAGTTACATGTATGAGAACACGAAAACAAGAGTGTGGCCCTTCGACGCGCTAGGATCTTGAATAAATCTCTAGAAATATTTTGAGATTTTATAAAACCTCTACGGAAACTGGGGAGAAACCTATAAAAAAATCACCGTTCTTGAAACAAATCGCACATTACGATCATTTTACTTCTAGGACATAATCACTCATAAAGATGAAAAATTTCTGTATCATGTTTACTCTAAATGTTATAGTCAATTCAGTGTTACAGCTCTGTGTAAAATATTTCCTTATCATAATACGATTTTGTTGTATATTTCTGTATCATAAAAAATTCCAGTTTCGTTAAATGTCTTGTAACAAACCGTATTGCCTCATAAATAACGGTTTAGTTTGGTCATCACAATGGTGTGGTCAAGTCAGATACAGAAATGAAAACTATGAAAATTAATTCACTTGGATAAAAAACTCCAGTTTATGGTTGAAAAAAGTTTTTATGTGATAAACGTTTATAGACTTACTTCGTCAGTTGTGGCCTATCCGACATGAGTAGAATGTCATATATGTAAATTTGAACATAACAATACAATACACAAAGACAAACAAACACTTTAAAATTTTTAAAAAAGAGAAGCTACATGTTATATAGAAGCCGGAGACAGAATGGGCTCCCGGTCTGGCGTAAATATTGAGATGACATGTGACAAATGACAGCTTGTAAAGGGCAGTTATGTGATCTGCACCTTTCAAAATTCTATGAAACTAAGTATTGACCAAAGGTCCAAATGACACCACTATAGGAAATCAACTGATGAAAAATAAAATGATATAGTATATTTTTTATGTAGATTGAATAATTCAAATCTCACACTCAAACCTATCTATAATAATTAGGATGTTAGTTTGAGAGCAATTGAACTTGACATAAAGTATGAATGTAAGAAAAGACTAAGCAATATATTAGACAGTCCTTTCCCGACAGACATTCCTTTTTTTATAAAAAAACGTTTCTTGGCTTATTTCAGATGCCCCTGAAGATGATCTATTGATCGAAAGTACTTGGGCAAGATTTAATTAATTACTGTGTTCGATAGTTGCCTTGTATACCATCAAAGTTTAATTATTCTAACATTCAACCTTATATTGGTTTCTTTTATTGTTTTAATTGATGCACTTTTATTTTGATGATAAACTACATGAGAATATTTCTGCTTGATGAGGATGTGTGCTTGGTTATATAGCAACTTCCAGCCACTTCCAGTCGAAATCAAAAGTTGATCACCATAGCACAAAAGTAATTACTAAATTGACTGAACAGATAATACTGTTACATTCAAAAATCCAGAAAACTTAATATTTGGTATACTTTATAGACTGGTATATTCATCATTTTTCAAAGATGATATAGGAGAGAGTCAATAGTCAATATCCACTATCGAGCACTATCAAAAACTTTTTAATGGCCTTGGCAGAGCCAATTAGCCAGTCAAAATTTAAAGACAAACAATTTTTACAATCAGAGGAATGTTTTCTGTATTTCTGATTTTTTTTAATAAACATACAATTAATTTTTAATAAGTTACAATTTTTTTTCCTGCGCTAAGACATAACCCGATTCAACATCTCGGAGGTTTACATCTTCCTTTTTTATTTTTTAATTCTTTAACATTTTTATTATTTATTTATTAATTTTTTTCTGCTATAATATAACACGATATTTACTTAAATCTAAGGATTAGATTTAAAGCTACAATTTATATTTCCAGTTTTTGATAAGTTCGTAAATCGTTGTTAATATATTGATAACTCTAGAGAAAATCAAATTGTTCAGGTAGACGGGAAGTGGAATTTTTATTATAATAAGATTATCATAAAATTTGTTTATGTTTACTGACTCGTGGGAACATTCAAGGAAAATATGTAATCGGTTACCTTCTTTTCCACACTTGCAATTAGGCGACTCCGTGAGACCCAACTTGTACATATGAAGGGGGGTAAGAGCATGATTAGATCTTAATCTGTTTATAACCCTTATGAAATGGCGATTTGATAGAGTATGAAACCATTTTTTGGTTCTTGAATTGAATCTCTTTGATGTAGAGACGTTGTGGTTTCAACAAGGTTGACCACAACAATGAATTTATTAAAGAAAACGTTTGGTGAGCGCATAATACCACGTTTCCGATTTGTGAATGGTGCTATTCGACACCGCATATTGACGGCAGTTAATACAACTTATCTATCAACTGGAGTTATATTCCTTAAAAAACACTTGTTACATGACACATTTCCTCACATGTAAATCTTTGATTCAATAACAATCTTAGAAAAAAAATACATTGCAAGATAAAAACACATGGACTTGACGTTTCTTCTTGTTTTTTGCAAAATATTTTACTAATTGAATTACTAATTTTATACATAAATGTACTTACGGGGGTCGTAACACCACGCGCATCCTGGCGTTTGAATACATTCGCTACATTTTCCTTTCGGCGTGCAGGGATTAGGGGTGGAAAATCTTGGGGTAAATTGGGCTATCACAACTGTGCTTATTAATATTAAAAGAAAACTGTTTCGTGCGAAGCTCTTTGTCGTTGGCACCTCCATTATACTGTAAAAGATAAAATGCAAATGAAATTTATGCATAAACCAAAAAACATTAATATTTATTATATAATGGATAATACATAGTTTAAATTATTAAACTGCAGTGATAATAGTATATGTTCTCCATTAAATGTTTGTTAGTTTTTATCGTTAAGTATGTAGCTAACTCAATTTGCTATGAAATTTAATGAGAATTAATTACTTTAAGAGGGGGTAGGGTTTATTTTCAATATTTTAAACATATTTTTAGGATTTTTTTTTGAAAAATTCTTTAGTATAAATTTATTTATAACATTAGTATATTATAGTACAACATTTCAAAAAATTCACAATATACAGTCCCTGGCCAAATTATTAGAGGCACTATAAGATTTTATAAAAAATGTTAATTATGAGCTGATACTAAATAGGTTTTTTTCTATATACCAGAAACAATGTATGTTATTTGGTTGTCCACTTAATTTTCTATATTTTATTACCAATAAAACATCATTATTAATGAACAAATATTGACTATTGAAAGAAAACAGAAATAACGACAATAAAGTGTTAACATTTTGTTAAGCCACCTTTAGCCGCTATTAGAGCTTTAATTCTGCGCGGCATACTATCAATGCAAGCCTGTACTGTCTCTTGCATTTGAGGATGATGATTCCACACGTAAATTATTCTTTCTAAGAGCTGCGATTTGTTTGTAATCATGTCTATAGCCACTTCTCTTTTCATGAACTCCCAAACGTTTCCATGGGGTTCAGATCGGGGCTATTACCCGGCCAATGGAACAAAGAGATATTTTAGAGATAAAAGCTTTGACAGACTGTGCTGTATGGCAGGGAGTTCCATCTTGCATAAAAATAAATGGTTCCCCATTTGGAAACCAGTCTTGGAGCTGCGGAATCAATTGCCTTTGTAAGACATCTTTGTACTGGTCTTGCCGTATCATTCCTTTTACCACGTACAGACGTCCAGTACCCTTGCCGTTAATGACTAACCAAATCATCACTTTTGTAGGGTGCTTCACAGTCTAAACAACACAGTCAGGATGAAACTTTTCTCCATGACGACGACACACAAACTGAGCTTTCTTTTGTAAAATTTCAAATGTGCTTTCATCACTGAAGCAGACCTATCAACACTAGTCAAAAAATTATGTGCTGGTCTTTATATTGGTTAAATATTGGTAAATATTTTGGTAAATTATGAACTTAACGACCTCCAGAAGTCCACATCTTTATCACGCAGCTGTTTGGCCCAATTCAGACGCTTTGTTTTCATTGCAGGTGTTAACTTGGGCAGGTCAATTCACATTGACATCTTGGAGTTGCGATTTTATCAATTTTGTGGTAGCAAACCTGTTTTCTAGGCAAATTTTCTTTAAAGATCTTTCTGACCTTGGAGTGAAAATAGGCTTTCTGTAGCATTTTTCTTTCGTTTTGGGCTCAATTCTTTCCCTAATTTAATCTTCTTCTTTATGCGTCGTACACTAGGTTCAGAAATCTTTAACGTTCGTGATATTTCGCGGTTTGAAAATATTTTAGTATTCACTAGGGCCTTTATCTCATCTTTTTTACGTGGTGAAAGATTGCGTTTTTTAGCCATGATAAAAGCGTACAAACAGATTATTTAAACTCTGGACACGAAATAAACAAATAACTGCGTAATATAAAACTGTTTAATAAACAAACACAGCACAAAAAGCCAGAGACACGTTCGCAACTGAAGCACCTGCGAACGCGGAGCAGGTTAAGACTTGTTTGCGTTCCGGCAAGAATTGATTAATGCAGGCCATTCACGTTCCGACTTGTGGTACGACTAGTGGTCCAACTTCTGCAGTTGATCTGAAATCGGACCGTGAATGGGCTAGTTGGATTAGTTTGGACAACTAGTGGTACGACTAGTGGGACGACTTGAAGATCCGACTTCCGACTGGCGACGAAGTCGGAGCGTGAATGGTCAAGTTGGAAGTCGGATCACAGGTTGGATCGAAAATTTCCTCAGTCAGTTGACTTTCGGCACCTGTTACGTATGAGATTTCTATGAAAATACTTTACGCAAAGATCTCTAGTTCGCGAATATTTAATAGAAAATAAACTTTCAATTGCACGAAAATTACCTTTTTGTTAGGGCAAATCATTTTCCTTTCTGTAGATCTATTTAGGACATTCCTATACAGGTAAATTTTCCGATTACTCCGGATTAGCTACGGAACAATTATCAACAAACAATGAAAATTAAATCATAGTTGTAGCAAAAGATCCCTAGTTCGCAAAAAATAATAGAAAATAACTTTCAATTTCACGAAAAATTATTCCTATTAAAAATATACGACACACATACAACAAAATAAATCCCAGCTCCAGTTTAAAACAAATAAAATATAGATTTTATACCTATACAAATCTTTAAAAACTATAATTTTTTCCTACATCTTAAAAAGTCATAAAAATCAAGAGTTAAAAAAATTAATTAGTTCAGCCCTAAACAAATAACTAGAGAAACGAAACCTAATTTTTAAACATACATATCATATTATTTGATTTTGCGTAGTGTTTATTGGATACATTTTTTGGTTAAGCGATGTACACCATCGTGAAAACAACCTAGCACTGAAGTTGGACCGCTAGTTGGATAGAAAGTCGGAGCGTGAGTGGAGACGAACATCCAACTAGTAGTCCTACTAAGTGGGACCACAAGTCGGAACGTGAATGGCCTGTCTAATGCCGGCCATTCACGTTCCGACTTGTGGTACGACTAGTGGTCCAACTTCTGCAGTTGGATCTGAAATCGGACCGTGAGTGGGCTAGTTGGATTAGTTGGACAACTAGTGGTACGACTAGTGGGACGACTTGAAGATCCGAGTTCCGACTGGCGACGAAGTCGGAGCGTGAATGGTGAAGTTGGAAGTCGGATCACAGGTTGGATAGAAAATTTCCTGTCAGTTGACCTTCGGCACCTGTTACGTATTAGATTTCCATGAAATACTTTACGCAAAGATCTCTAGTTCGCGAATATTTAATAGAAAATAAACTTTCAATTGCACGAAAATTACCTTTTTGTTAAGGCAAATAATTTTCCTTTCTATAGATCTATTTCGGACATTCACACACAGGTAAATTTCCGATACTCCGGATTGGCTACGGAAGAATTATCAACAAACAATGAAAATTAAATCATAGTTGTAGCAAAAGATCCCTAGTTCGAAAAAAAATAATAGAAAATAACTTTCAGTTGCACGAAAAATTATTCCTATAAAAAATATACGACACACACACAATAAAATAAAACCCAGCTCCAGTTTAAAACAAATAAAATATAGATTTTATACCTACATAAATCTTTAAAAACTATAATTTTTTCCTACATCTAAAAAAGTCATAAAAATCAAGAGTTGAAAAAATTAATTAGTTTAGCCCTAGACAAATAACTAGAGAAACGAAACCTAATTTTTAAACATACATATCATAACATACATATAAAGATAACAAGCACAATTCTGCCATTTTCCTCCTCCTAATTATATTTTGCGTAGTGTTTATTCGATACATTTTTTGGTTAAGAGCGATTTACACCATCGTGAAAACAACCTAGAACTGAAGTTGGACCGCTAGTTGGATAGAAAGTCGGAGCGTGAGTGGAGACGAACATCCAACTAGTAGTCCTACTAAGTGGGACCACAAGTCGGAACGTGAATGGCCTGTCTAAGACAGACAGCTGTACCGTGTTGCATCGGTACATCCTTTACACCTCCAGGGTTACATCGTTTCACTTAATTTAACTTAATTTAATGTAAAGTTTTTTACACCTATACATTATGTGACTATACGTGTGCTTTTATTGAGTGTTTCTTTAATTGTCAAAATTATACTCTTTTGTATTAATTTAAGTGGAATTATTTGAGTTTCAGGACTCACTGATGATGATGATGATGACGATGATGAAAGGATAAAAATCCTGCTCATGAATTTTAAATAATACTTTTGGATATTTTTAATAAAAATATACTGAGAATTTTCACTTTCTGAAAATGGGCCGGCAATGACCAAAGCTATTATTTGAAACAGACTTCTAACATTGTATTGACTCATATGAGCCTTTATTTGACGGTAAGGTACGTTACTTGTGGCACAAGTAGTACATTTCTTACGCCAGTCCTTTACGTCATTGGAACTATTCATCCATAAAACCGTTCTTGAATTCTCTGAAGGATTTTCTTTACACCAAAATACCCTCGTGATGTACTGTCGTGTAACTGACGAAGTACTTTGGCCATTTTGCTCTTTGGAATCAACTGAGTTTTAACTACTGAGCATAGGTTTGATTTTGCTTGCCAAGACTATTCTGCTTCCTTGGATTATGCCTTGTTGCAATGGAAACACTCTGCTGGGCGAGACGTCAACCTTGAAATCATATTCTTGGGGTGGTTCAATTCATCTGTCTATCTGACCTTCTAGATTCTTAAATTGCTGGTGTGTTTCTTGATTTGTGTTATACCTAGGATGCTTACATGAACTTCGTACGTGTCCCATTTCACCACAATTCCAGCACCTTATGGTCTTAGTTTTCTTGTATACAATGTCTTTCATCAGATTAATAAGCTGGTTAAATTTGTCGTCATCTTCTCCTTATTTTACAGTCCTAAACCTTACTCTAGTCGCTCGATGTACAAGCCACTGACCAGCGTCTTGTGATGAACTAATCGCAGTATTTCCTGCATTTCATGATGACGAAGACTATCAAGAAATGTTTGAACAGCCAACTTTTCCAACATATTGTGTATGCTCAACGGTACCGGTTTTCAGTATTTTCAGTTTTATAAGAATATTTGACGATTTCGTATATGTCATGTTTAAAGTGCTCATTTACATCTAGCGTATGACCAATAGCGGAAGTATTAATACTCAAACAAAAAATACAAGGACAACTGCTGGCAAATTTAAATATATTTCCGGTATCTAAAAATACATACACAAACTTAAAATAAATGCATCTAGGTTGTTCAAAAAAATTGTATTAA